CATGAAATCAATGCCGAACACCGCTGGTCTTTCGCATGGTTTAAAATGGCCGCCGCCTCGTGGTCGACATACGAACGACGACCACCCTGTATTCGGTTTTAATTGATAAGTGTCTGTGGTTAACTGCAACATTCTAATTGGGATCAATAGGCTAACCAGCAGCACACTGCTCTTCTGGGTGGCCGTCCATTCGGCAGAAAAGTCAATTCACTTGAACAAAGGCATACGAACAGACGAATCCAGCAATCTGAGTCTATACGGTTGGATCTGTCACAGTCTCGTTATTGGGGGGATTTATTACCGAGGACTAGAGAGGATTATTAGCCGCTTGGGAGATATATGCGTTCGGCTACTATTGGCGATTCGTGAGTTTGGAGCTCGTGAAGTGAAGTGCCCGTACAGATCCCGTTCGTGAGTTTACCGCATTCCCCTGCTTGCGGTTCGTAAGATTGTACTTGATAAGCATACAGCCTTTGTTACTGCGAGAGGGGAGGATTTACTAAACAGCGGTTTGTGCATCTGATGCTGAGGGTACTGTAACACTAATATATTACATTTGTGTAACGTATCCCCAGATAGCCTGGATCTACCGAACAAAACTACTGAACGGATGGCCACCCAGGAGAGAAGTGTGCTGCTGGTTAACCTATTGATCACAATTAGAATGTTGTGGTTAACCGCAGACACTTCTCAATTAAACCGAATTCAGGGTGGTAGTCGTTCGTATGTCGACCACGAGGCAGCGGCCATTTTAAAACACACGAAAAACACTTTTTCTGCCGAACACCGCTGAAACAACGGGACGCCTGGCTGCCTCGACGAAAACGTACGAACACCGGCCGTTCGGGAGTTTTGCAGCACATGAACAGACTTAACCCAGATAGCCTTCCCATGGAGTCATTCGTATACCGAAAGACTGTAAGAACTTTGACTCCATGGCGATTGAACTATGTGTGTGGCATCTGAGCGCTATTCGCCAATAATATGCACTCAGATCCAGGCTATCTGGGGATATGTGATGTGAATAAGAAATGTTCGGCTATTTTCAAATTATGTATTTTTATGTGTTTTCTGGTTTTATATCTAAGATGGCGATTTGTCTTTGTCCTGGAGATAATTTAATTACCTCTCAATTATCTCCAGGGCAGAGGGGAGGAAACTATATTGCATTGTGGGAAAAGGTTACATCTGTATGTCTGAAATGTCCCCATGTCCATCTGTAATTCCAGTCTCCCATTTGGTCCCCTAGGGGAGTGTCCACCAAGTGGGAGACCTGCATAAATACGGGCAGGTAGCCCACAGTAAAGCCAGATCCTGTTTGACCCTCAATGCGGAGCTTCTGTCTCGTTATTGGGGGGATTTCTTCTTTGCGCTTAGAGACTGCTGATCGGAACCGAAAGCCGCTTGGTGGATATCGTTGTTCGGCGGCTAGCAGCAGTTTGTGGATTTCCGTTCGGGAGTTTGGAGCCTTTCACGGATCCCGGTCGGGAGATTACCGCTTCCCCTGGTTATGGTTCGTGTATTACAATTGATGCGAATGGATTACTGATGTTGCGAAAGGGGAAGGTGAACTAAACTGCGGTTTCTCTTAAAGACACCAGGGGTGTCTTAACACAGGGCTTGCGGTCGGTCTAGTTCAGTAGTTTAAAAACGAATAAACTACTTAACAGACTCTATGTCCCTGGAGCCTGATCCCCTTGTTCGTGGGAACGTTTCCACTTTTAACTTGTGTAGAACCGAACGCAAACAATGCTGGAAGTCCAGCTGTGTTCGGGACTGTCTGTGTCCGTTTTCAGTTCCATGAGATTCATGCCCAAACACCTCTGCCTGTGTTCACAGGATCAAGATGGCCGACACTTCGTGGTCATCCATAGGAATTGCAGCCACCCAGAAGAACACTTAGAACACTGTGGTGGAAAGTAGCAATTAGGCTTAACAAGCTCCAGGGTGGTCTCCGGTTCATGCGGTTGTTCGGTTCCCGAACCAAATGTAAAATCCCACGAACCAAGTCTGTTCGCATAGTTTTTTTTTTAAAGGTCCCATAGTCTTTTGGTAAGAGGCGGGCCAGCAGGCCCCTCCAAGAACACGTGACGAGGCTCAGTTCGTCACAACCACCAAAATGGCTGTGAAAGCATTTCCAATCAGTGGTATTGATACAATATGCTTGTTGGCATTTCTAATAACCTTATTAGGTCATCCCATGTTCCATGGACAGTCAGAAATACAAAAGAGCTTACAACACATATTGTCATCTGTTCATGTCACTCAATATCAACCACACCTGTGAAATGCACGTAAGGAACATTTCCAAAATATAGAATATTTTACAAGAACATTTTGACAATTCACCTGGGTCCTGCTGCATGCCCATTGCCACCACCTCCCATGATGGAAGCTTCTGCAAGGAGCTCTTACTAGCTCCACTGAACCATGCCCTGTTGTAGTCAATTAGAGCCACCCTGTACTGCTGGTCTTAGCTCATTGCATGAGTGTCTGGACTCCACACAAGGTGACAGTGGGTGCGTACCAGGTAAGTTGTCAAACCATTCTTAAAAAGTTTGACTACTTACCCTGGAAGGGAGCCAGAGCAGTCTGTAGTTGTTATGGTGCTTCCAGTCCTCCTGCTGTCATCATTTCTCTAGACAATTTACTGTTCTCATTTTAGCTGAATCTGTATCATAATAAGAGAGGAAAACACTCATTTAATGAATTTACTAAATACACTACAAGCCCGGAGCCAAGTCCTCACCATGTTATTACTTTACTGGACAAATGGCTAACGTTACTAAGCAGCACATTTCGAGCCGGGGCAGTTGTGAAGCAGAGAGATTACTGTCTGAATGTGGTTATCTATTTTCCTCCCAAACTCCCCATTCTTGCTTTTTTTGTAGCTAGGGTTGTACTTTGATGATTTTTGGTTGCTTGTCTTACACCTTGAAATTTGGAGAATACTATAAGCACTTCAGCCCTGTAGGTCTTCTTTTTGTGGATAATGTGGCTCGTGGTCTTAGCAAGGAAACTAATCTGGTCAGGGCAGCCATCAGAAATTTTGAGGCCCCTGACAAAGCACAAGGTTTTGGCCGCCCCACCCCCTGACTGAATGTGGTGTGTATAGTGGAAGTGAATTAGAATGTGTATAATGGATGTAGTGTTTGTGTGTATTAGATAATGTTTGTTCAGTGAATGCAGAGTGTGTGTTTGTGTAGCGGATGCAGTGTGTATAGTGAACGCAGAGTGTGTTTGAGTAGTGGATGTAGTGTGCAGGGGAGGGCTGGCAGCCTTAGGCCTGGGGGGCAAAACCAGTCAAGAGGCCCATTGCACCACCAAATCAGTGCAATGGTGCCCACCTTTTCCTGGTTTTATAACGGATATTGATGTTATGCTAATCAGTAGCTCTTTGCCATACCAGCTCCTTCACGGCTCTGACTTTCAATGTTGTCAGAGCGCAGGCTGAGAATCTCTGAGCCTGTGCTCTGACTCACTAACTGAGCGCCGGAACCACAAGGGAGAGGCTATAATCTGACTGCACCTACTGCTGGTGCGCACCAGTGGACCACCAGCGAATCGTTTAAATTGAATAGGCTGGTGTCCCCAACTTGTGAGCTGTGTTGTCCGCCAGGCGCCTCTGTTGTGATGGCACCCTGCGTGACCGCACAGCGTGCACACCCCAATGGCTGGCCCTGCTGACACACACTGATGTTACTACTTAGAAATCCCTCAATATTAATACAGACAGCAGAGTAAACACCAATAAACTGTGGAAACAGTTCTGATCCCACCCAAATTTATAAAGATTTGCTTACTGGATTTGTTGTAAGATTAAATC